TAATACAGAAACTGGGACTATTTGGATACTTGAAATCATAAATTGTATACGATTTCGTGCTCTATCACTATCACAAAGTTTTGATGCATTCGAAAAATTCAGTTCCTTGGAAGTTTTCCACATGAAACCAGCTTCAGATAATTCATCAATTAAGGGAAAGGTTTTGGAAGGGATGATCTTGAAGAGCTCACCATGAAAATTCGTAGAAATTTGCGTCGATATTCGGAAAGCGCCCTCTTCACCGATTGACCTTCGAGTAGTGCAACACCTGCAATAACGCTAGTATGATTACCATTTCTCAGTCAGTTTCAGAAGAAGTTTACTTCAATTTCTTCAATCAATTCAATTTCAAATAATGAACTGGAATTCCCAGAAGCTTAGTTTGCCGACAGAGAAATTTCGAGCATTTCAGTTTTTGAGGGATCACATTTACGGTGAAAGTAGCCATCTGATCGAAAGAGTGTGATTGAAATTTTGTACTTCGATTGAAATTCCGGTGAGAAAGTGTACAAATATCGTGAATGTGACCGATCGCTCACTCACTGCACACAAGCTGAATCTTTAGCAGAAAATCACATTATAGGGGAAATTAAATTTAATGCATTCAACTGTTCTGAAAGTTTTATTTTCATTGGAGACAACAAAACGGCAAAATGAAATTTGTGACCTAATTCGGCAAGTTTTGCAAAAAAATCGAATTACAAACGGAAAGATGATCAGACCTGAAACAAAAGTTGATGCGAATACAGGCGATACGGCTAGATCGGCTATTACTTTCTTAAGTACAATACTCCCTTGATTGCCACGAATTACGCTTGCATCAAGCCATTTGTACCAAAAATGATTCATTGGTCCTACCACGATACCCATTATCGAGAATCGCACTAAAATATGAGATTGGAACATCATTCTATCCTAATATTTGCATTAACTTCATATTATTGGAATCATTTTCGCCCTTTTATGAATCATTTACTCCCAATAGCGCGCACCGATCTAAGCATACAGTAATGTTTGATCATAACGTTAACTCATTTTAGATCAGTGAGTTGGTTTTGGTTATTCTATTGATAATCCTTTTGGTTATTATCTTTTTATCCTCTTGCTTACAAAAACTATCGGCTATCCTCTTGATCAGTTCGTTATCCCCTCATATGAGAGACATTAACAGAATGAATAATTGTCTCGATTGGAATCAATGTTTATATCTTCGGAGGTGGGTTACATCGAATAAATTTCATGTTCTTCATTCGCAGCCCGACAAAACACACGCAAACAACTTCCAATATGATTATTTGTGAAGAAATCCATAATTATCAAATCTAAAATTCGCTTTATAAATGACGAATGAAATTTGGTCAAGTATTGCTATGTACTATCGTGATTTGCAGTGAATGTGAGTGATTATATCGAACGAGCTGATCGCATTGGTTTCTTTCAGCTAATGAATGGATTAAAGTAACGTACAAGTCCGCCAGATGGCCAATGGGCGATCTTTTCCGGGATCCCAATCGCCATGAATGTACTGTTGCGCAACATCGGCGATTCCAAGCAGAGTTGAACATGACACTGTGTTCGTTGCCAGCAGATACCGTGGCGAGAAAGCCACTCGCACAAATTTCTATGCAGAAATAGCCATGTTCAGATTAATTATGAAGCAACTTTCTTATGAAATCGCATGTTTCCGGTCAAAAATACGAAGAAGTTCCCAAAACCCTTCATTCATACAATAAAGATTTTCGAGCAAAATCAACCGTCTACCGTCTCAACCGTCTTAACAACCTATATAATTATGAACATATATTTAGTATAAGATAAAACCCTCAGTCTCTTTATTTTGGAATTATTGAGTTTAAGTTCAAAATGTACAAAAGATAACAACAAAATGGAAAGTCTCACAAAGAAGCGATTGGTCATTTATAGCCGTTCGTTTGCGAAGAGTAACAAGAGTTTTGGTGTTGTCGCATCGCAAGTCATTGTCTCACAAGAAAACTTCAGCGCATAACTGGACACCCTCTTGATGAATTGGTGGTTAATGAATTCACTTTTCTTTCGCCTGATTGGAATCCTTCTCGTGGTCAGTACCAATCTGAAGATTGCAACTGAAAATACTCAACGAACGAATTCGAAAATTCAATATGTTGTCAACGATAACAACTTCCCGATCGTAAATACATTCCACGCAGATGATCAAACGGGTTTAAGCAGAATGANCAACGAACGAATTAGAAAATTCAATATGTTGTCAACGATAACAACTTCCCGATCGTAAATACATTCCACGCAGATGATCAAACGGGTTTAAGCAGAATGATTCAAATACGATCGAAAATACAAAGAAGAACCTAGGGTTTTAATTGAAGAAACTAATAAGCTCTGAAATTTAGCAACATTTTATCCTATTCAGCATCGATACAGGATCAGACTAGCTTATTATATCTTCATGAACCATTTAAAAGGGATACCAAGTCGGAATTTCCGAGTATTCAGTAAGATATCGTTCACGACTCACAGAATCTGTGAACATAATGAGAGCCATCGAATGAAACACCACTGGGAAGATTCATTACCTTTCATGTATAGGACCAGAGCAGTTAATTTCACAGGTTCCATGTAAAATCGCTTCAATCAAACTGAAGGCTTGCGAACAGTGCTAACAATGCAATAGCGGGATATTGCGTGAAATTTGCTACGATTCAGCAAAAAAAAGCACAAAAATGAGTGAAACAAACGGCACAATCAGATTAAAATGTCATATTATATGGAAATCTATGATTGATAGACAGCAATCTCTCACAATTCTGGCCAATTATTCACATGAGATGTGTGTAATCTGACAAACAATGAAATTTTCAGTTGAAAAAGAGTGCATATATCGAAATATTTGCAATAGGTGTAATAGTTGGATTATTCGAATGGAACATGAAAACGAATATATGAAATCCTGTTCGTAGGTAGCTTCAACAAGCTTGATCGGTGAACATTTGAACTTCGCTGTTAAAGATTCAACGAATTAACTGAAATGCTAGGTGAGCATTCATAAATGTAAACAGTTGACCTAACAAATCAGGAGATCTCTCATTGAAAGGAATAAAATTCATATTATCTATTGATTTCGAATTATTCAGTAAAAATCACATGAATAATCCGGTGAATGTTTGAATTACAGCTAAAGAATAAATAATAATCTGAAAAATCAGCATTTTCACCATGATCTTCATTAGAGCACCGTTGATCTGACTATAAGCTCACTCAGCAGCAACTTAAAAAGCATTCCTTATCAGTTCCTCTACAGGACATTAGTTATTATCCGAAACTTCATGTTTGATTCCAGTCATATCATTACCCAGTTACCTCGTAGTGGTTGAAATTCTACCGCACTCAACAAACTTTTGATTGTCCACTCGTTTAATTTCCCACTCGTTTGATCGTGAACATCACATGAATTTCAGCAATTGAAGTATCAAAAATTACATTGAGCAGAAAAATACTGATGAGAAATCGCTCGTCACGTCATGATGCAATTGGTTCAAATAGCAATGATATAATGATTTGATGCTTAAAATCAATCGCATTCGTGTTGAATGCAAGGAAATGCTTTTATTCACAATCCTTTGAAATGTTCTAGTGCTTCGGGGAATGCTGGACATACTTGTTACGGCTTCATTTGTTATTTGATTCTACTATCCTGAGGATAAATTGTCAAAATACTGATGTATTTCGATATTTTTTTGTTAGAATGAAAGAAGAGTAATAAATGAAACATGTTCAGCATGAAAATTCAAAATCATCCTCGTCATTCTATGCTATTATGCAAGCAATAAAATGAGCGTTAGAAAGAACTGCTAATCAAATTGCACAGAAACTATATATAAATCACATAGAGACTACGCATGACGATGCTATGACGAGTGAGTCCATTCATTCCTCTGCTGAAAATTCGTCAGAACGTTTAGAAAAAGTGTATTGGACGCAAAACGAGTAATAATATTAATCTGGCAGCGACGGAAATATCGATGAAAAACCTCGTATTAATGTGAATTCAATGGAACGTCTCTTAGCTTTCACTAGAACATCGAAATGTTTTGAACTTCAAAAATCATTTGAGAAACGGTTGTGATATGAAAAAGTCCAAGAAAACAAGGATGCATTGTTATGAAAATGAGCAGGAACTGACGTATTTCGACATCCATCAACACTGTTGAGTGCTGACAAATGAAGTAAATTCAAATCGATGAGGTGATGTCAACAACCGAAAGCAATTCGAATTGTGCTGACGATCGATGCCAAAAGCAATTGCTTTTTGCCTTGATTTTTTGAGTGAATGGTAACAAGCCAGGGGTGGCACTATAAATACATCAATCATTAAGCGGTGATCGTAAACAAAAAATGATAACAATGAAATTTAGTAATAACATAAGCTAACAAGCTTATTATTAGAATGCAATCGCTTTGACGAGTCGTATGCAATATAACGGAATGCAAAAAACACGCTTAGAATATGAATAAGATAATCAAAGAATATCTTAAGAATAATCTTAAGAATACTTTTAAAAAATATCTTAAGACCGTAGAACTGCGTATGATCGAAAATTCCAAAACAATGTTAAGATCAACAGCACTAAGTTTGAGATGCATAAAATAACCAAAGTTCTTATAT